CTCAGTAGATCGGGAGGTGAGAGAACAAATACCGGCGCTCGCTCACCTCTCGATCCTGTCACTGCTCTCTTCCGTGACAGGGGGAGGGGCTGGATTCCACCCTCCGATCCGCCAGCGCTGACTGGCGGAACGGACGGGGGAGGGGGCGGGTACAGCCGGCTCTGCCTCCAGATAGGAGGAGCCAGCTGTCACTCACGCAGCTGGGCGGATATCGGCATAATTGTCTGGATCCGCTCCGGCTGCGGCGTCTCAGTATACCGCGAGCTGTAGCTCCCTATATACTGAGCCTAGGGTGACGGGAGGACGCTGGTTTGTGTCCTCCCCCGACCCTGAGGAGAACTATGGGGAAAAACACTGACCTCGTACTTCTCCTTTAAAGACAAGGACACACGTGGACTCGTACACACGCACACACACGCAAAGGTTGAACTCGATGGTCCCGTGTCTTTAGTCATATAATATGTAACTAGGAATATTATTGGGAGTTCAGCTTCACATATCAAGAAATCTAAATGACACAAAACACTCGGAGAATCTCGAGTCATATAAATATATAATAATAATAAATAATGAAACAGGAAATAAATACAAAGTAACAATTTATATTGCCGGGATTATTATTGGTCTCCATGTCGGGGGGTCACTGGGAGGATAACGGCAGCCAGAGGGATCTAACCGGCCGGCCCCATCCCCCGACTCGGTTCATCTTTGGCTGGAGCGAGGCGCGAATCTGCTGAGTGTCCATAAATGTCATGACGGCGAAGCCGAGGCGTTGTTGAGGATTTCACGTGCCGCTGTCCCGGAGATCTCCCCCTAATCGCCTCCCCGGATTATGGAAGGACGCGTCTGCTCTCGGTTCATTATTGGATATAGAACGTCCTGCGACATCCACCTTCTGTCTGCTTCACCGTGTGACCGGGGTGGAGTCCCCGTGATATATGTGACGTGTTTATATTGATTGTACATAAAGTGTCACTCCGATTATAGGCGGAGTTTGTTGGCTTTTTGTATCTCTGAACCAAAGAACATTCTCCCAGCTGTAGTCACCTGACTCCTCTCCACCTGGCAGTCTTGTGTATCCCCGCCCACCTTTGTGTATCCCCGCCCACATCTGTGTATCCCCGCCCACCTTTGTGTATCCCCGCCCACATCTGTGTATCCCCGCCCACCT